CGAATGGGTCTATTTGTATATTTCGGTATACAAATGGGTCCTGCATTTGTATATTTCGTCGGTATACAAATGGGTCCCGCATTTGTATATTTCGGTATACAAATGGGATGGCAAAAAACATGAAATGTTTGCTACGAATTACAAATAAAAGAAACTATGGCTATAACATTTAATTTGAATTAATAGTTTGCTATTTCATACAATTTTCCCTATATTAGAGCTAAAAGGAAATAGATCACCCACTTTATTTTACTTTCATGTTTGACACAGAATAACAATTTTAAGTGGACTACAAAATGGTCTCTTCGTCTATATGAAATGCTAATGTGTTATGTGCCCCATTTGTCAAGATTCAAATTATACTGAGAATAAAATCGGTAGATGTTCATTTGACGCTATTAATACGAAATCAGGATTTTAATCAGGATTTTTATCAAGTAAATTCAAAATACAAAGAAGTAAACACATAAAGAAGTTTAAGAAAATTCAATAATTATTATAAATGTATAAAATATAATTATACTCATGTATAAATGGTATAATTTTCTGTTGATGAGAGTTTGAATAAACCCCTTCTCCCTGGCTCCGCCCCTAGATCATTGTTATATTACACGAACAAAGGAATTTTTAAACCAAAAATAAAATAATGTCGAATACAAACTAATGGACACCAATTAATGGAACGATTGGAACAGATTTGATCTAATGAGAAAAAAAAATGTGTACAAATAATAATGATAGTAATGGTTTTGAGAAGGCTTATGAAACTTGCTCTTAACCCAATGAAAACTTTTTTTTTTCACTCCAATAGAAGTCTTCTGTCCCTTTTTACTTGCCAAAACTTTTTAATTATTATTTTTGACAAATCAAGAAAAGAGAATACTTTTTTATCTATTATACCTTCAATTTATTTAGAGAATTATTGTTTTTGAAAAAAGTAGAACTTCTTTAATGAGTAAATTGATTTTGGAATTCTATCAATTAATATGAGTAAAATGATAAACTTACTATGTCAACTATTATTTTCTTAATAGGTATATCAAATTAAAAATGGACAAGTAAATAAGGACAGAATGAGTATAAATTGAGCTTTTAGATGTTGGAAAATTTGGAAGGTCCATTTCCATTTATTTTTTTAAAATGGTCATTATTACTCTTGTGCTCGTAAGTTAGATTTTAAAAAAATGGTCATTGATCTGCTCAACACGTTTCATAGGAATTATATGCAGTGTAGCTGTTGGGTGATCTAAAGTTCACATTGGGTTAATGTATGAGCCAATCATATACTGCCTCAAGGCTTTTTATAAAGCTCAACTAATCAATTGGTCGATGGTTAGTTTTAGGGGCATTTTTAAGTCAAAAGATAAGTTAAGGGTATTTTTGGCCTCTTTTCGATTGTATATATAATATAAATTAAGGGATAATTTCAAAAGAAATCTCTAATATTGCGCTCCATCACACTGACCCTTGTTAATTGGTTATTTCAAAGATTGTTTGATACAGAACTCACTTACTGCCAGTAAGTTACAGTTCAAATAGTCACAATTTAAGAGTGTCAAATAGATGAATCGGGCTGCAATTGATCAAGTTAAACTGACTTGACTTAATATCATCCCAAATATTACATGGGCAAAAATGGGCTGAAAATGGGTTGGGTCATGAGTCATGACTTGCCTTGTTTAACCCATTTTTTTCAAATGGTCCACCTTCCCCTACCCCACCCCTTAATTAGGTCCGCCCCTACCTACCATCCATCGAAACTCGAGCCCTTATGTTTGACTCACAACCGTGATCCCCCGCCCGATCCAACCCTGACCCAAGGCATAAGACCTGACCTCGACCCAACCTTGACTATAAACCCAAGAGGTGAGCCTTACCCCTCGACTTCAACTTGACACTCGGGACACCAGACTCGAATTGACCCTATTAACTTGAGAGCTAACCTTATTTTGACTTGGATCTGAGGCCTGACCTCAACCCACTACATGATTCCCAACTTTGACTAAGACCTCAAGTCCCGACCATAACCCAAAACCCCAACCTAGTCCCTGAGACTTAAGCCTCGACTTTAATTTGACCAAGAACCTGAGACTTGAGTCCCCACCCTGATAGGGACCCGAGACTCGACTTTGACTTTGAACCCGAGACCTAACCTAACTATGAACCCAAGATTTGACCTTAACTCGAGACCTGACTTGATCCGAGAATTAGACCCAAAACTAGTGACCTGAGCCTAATTTTGACCCAAAATTTGAGATCCGACCTTGACCCAAGACCCTAATATGAGAATCGACCCCAACTTAAGAACCGATACTTGACTTTATCTTAGAACTTGAGCCTTGATTTTGACCCTAAACTTAAAACCCTAGACCAGACCCTAACTGTAGCCCGAGGCTCGATCTCGAATCTCACTTGGGACTTGGAGACGTGATCCTGATCCGAGAATCAAGACCTGACTTTGACTCGAAACTTAAGATTTGAGACCCAACCCAAATTCGACCACTTTGAATACGCCTCTAGACTTGAGATTAAGCCTCAATTTTGATCTAAAATTGGAGATCTAAACATGACTTGAGATTCGAAACCCAACCTCGACCTGTACTAAAGATCTCAACTTGACCCAATAATCATGGATTTGACCTAGAACCTAAGACTCGAGCATTGACCCTAACCCGAGATCCGACCTCAATTTGGGATCAAAACCCTAAGACCCGAATCCTGACCCGTTAGAAAAATCAAAGTAAATCTCAAATAGCTAATCCAAATTAAAGTAAATCCTTAAAATGAACTTGAATTGTGTTAATATTGGGCTAATTGAAGATTACTTTAGAAATGGGTTATGTTAGGTGTGACTAAAATTAGTCTAATATGAAATTGTCTTGTGTCCAACTCTTAAAATATGGGAAAATTTCACTAGTTCAGGAGCCAACTACTTAGACACACTCTAGTTTGCAATATTACGAATCTTACCAGATTCTAGTGCGTCCAGATACATGTATCTAGAGATACATGGGGTAGAAATTAGGTGTAATTTGTTCTAGATACACTGTATCTACATGGATAGCCAAGAGCCAAGCTAACTCAATAAAGGAAGAAACCCTACCAAAGCTAGAAAAAGCATAAAGCTTTCCTGTTGAATGAGGCTATCTCTTCTATCGCTCCTTCCAAGTGAGCCTCTTTCATAGGAATTCCCCCCATCAGATCAGGGGGTTCCTATAGGAGCCAGGTACACTCTACCTGAAAATGAGACAGAAATGAATGCAAGACTTCGAAAGCTTGTCACATATTGTATTTGGGTATATAACAATCACTCGTCTCCCTCCCATCTTGCTCGCCACTCTCCTATGTATCTGGTATCTCATATTTATGTGAATTGCACCATATATATGTATCTAGTGTGATTCGATCGTATGTGGAATACATGATTATCTCGCTCACCTCTGTCCCTGTTTAAGTGCATCTGGTAGCAAAATATATGTGTCTAGGTATATCTTTTTTAATATATGATATGAAAATTAATTACTGATAAGATACGTAATTATTTGAAAGTACAGATAGCACAAATATGTATAATATGTATGTATGTCTTAAAATGTTAGATGAATTAGGTGGGCCATCACTTTCTGCGCCATAGACACCACTAGTCATATGGTCTGAACTCGAGCTCCTTCTTTTCGCAAGCTTTTTACTTAATTAAACTTCCTAGTGATAATTCAGCTAAGTCTTTTCTTTTTCTTTTTCGAAAAAAAAGAAGAAGAAGTAAAGAGGATAAAAGTGGGGCAGGGGTGGGGTGGGTAAGTTGGTTGACCTTCAAATTTCTGGTTAATTTTGTATATCACATATTAATTTATTAACATAAAATACATTCTCATTATAATGGCTCAATTATTTGGAGCATTTTATAGAAATATATTGTAAGTAAACATAAACATCCTTTAAACAGTTGGATGGTAATTAAATGACAAGTGGCATGACCCATTCCAAATTGGCCTCTTTGTGACATCCTAAGGTTAATCATCATAATAATAAAATGGAAAACTTTGATAATTAATTCCTTCAAGAGTTGACAATCATCACCATAGCCCTTTTACTATTATTTTTATTTTAAAAAATACTACTAATAATTCAATCTTATATTATACCATTGTTGGCCTTCGTGTGTATATATATAGTGTTACATCTACATTTATTGAAAAACTTGCCAAGAGAGTTTAATCCTTCTTGACATATACATTCTCCACTACTTCCTTCCCAATCCCCTTTTATCTCCTCTTTTACTTTTGCAACCTTTTTAAACAAAGATTTTTCCCACCGACGAATCAGTGATAAATTCGTGTACAATCTTCTTGCATGAATATCTCTTTTTTGTGTGAACTTTATCTACATGAGTAACACCATGAGGCCAAGGATGAAGGTCGAGCTTTACTTGGCTTACGATAGAGGTTAGCTTAAATCCCTAGATATAGACCATACTATATATCTAATACGTGTTTTGTTTTTCGAAAAATAACTATGGATTTGAACAAATTGGATTCAAAAGGAAAGAAAGGAATAATCCCCAAAACATGGGAGCGTTGCAAATCTTTTGGTCGAAAAAATTCATTAGAAAATAATCAACATGCCTTGACAACAAAACGGGCTAGAAAATCAAGATATCGAGTGTCTACACAAGGTTGTTTCTCCGTCTATGTTGGATCAGATAAACAAAGATTCGCGATTAAGACTGAATATGTGAATCATCCCCTCTTCAAGATGTTGCTTGATGAAGCTGAATCAGAGTTTGGTTACAATAGTAAAGGTCCTTTGGTTCTTCCTTGTGATGTTGATTTTTTTCTCAATTTATTGATGGAATTGGACTCTAATGAGGCCAATCATCATGGTTGTGGCTTCACTAGGAGTTATAGCTACTATCACCTCACTCCAACAATATTTGCCTAGTAACTCACATATTTGTCAATCGAGTTACCAAATATCAAACTTAAAAATATATGTACCATATGAACCTGTATTTTATCTTATGTTATATATACTTTATTGTAATCATCTTCGTATGTAGTATCCTTCTTCAGAAGCTTAATTATCAATATGAATATAATTGTTTGTCCTCAAGACTTCAACATATTTGTTGCCATGAGTAAACATTCCTTGTAAATCGCGGATATATTAATCGGGCTATGATATCATATCGAGTTCAAAAGTATATGTTGTTGGAAACATATATTCACAGCGGAAGCATACCAGAATCTTTCTACTTACATGAATAATAGATAACCAATATTGTTTATGCTAGACCACATAATCATGCTAGAACACATAAACATACTGAAACTTAATTTGATAAATACCTCTTGAAGCATGAACAGATACCTTCAAGCGAATCCCCAAGTTAGACAGTCCTTCAAGTGAATCTACAAGATAGCCATGGTCTTCTACAGTGATCCCAAGTTCACATCTGAACTCTCTCAATACTAGGGTGGGCAAGTATCGAATAGAAAACTAAACAATCTAGGGCTAGAATAATCCCTAATTATAGAGATTTCTTCAAAATCCAAAGAGGAGAACCGAACACACGTTATTTTTCTTCCCCCGAAAAATACACGCTAGTTTTCTTTTTATAAGAAAACTAACGCCTCTCCCCTTTTCCCTTTAGAATTAGGATTCTGAGTTCTAGTTAAATATGGGCACTGGAGGGACCACATAATTAATTACTGAGGCTTCCTATTATGGAAATAATTCCAAATAATTAATTTGAATTATTCTTACCATAATAAATTACAAATCATTCCACTAGAAATTCGTAATTGCACTCCTCTATTTATATTTTGTAATTCCCCATTAAACACTTATGTAATTCCCCATGTTAAGATTTCAGATACTAATCAATAAATTAAATTACTGACGAATTTAACTTAATGATTAATTTCCTTTAGAGCACTACTTAACTTATTTCATGTGTCGGATTCATAAATCCACTTGCAAGGTTTGACACGATGAAAACTTATAAGTTTCTCAAAAAGGCATATCAATCAATCTCTATAACGAGACATGGATTTCATCAACTAACTTATTATTTCACCAATATATATTATTATCATCCAACTTACCAGGAATATTGACCCATCTCAGAATCTCACCTTTTAATAAATCAAAACGATAATTAATATATACAGATCATAATAGTTATATCAGGATTAAGAATATAAGTACATTTAATAGTTTAGAGAATATGTTTTGTCAGTCAGTCTAAAACAACTATCTCTACTCGGTCCCGTTCAATACATACAAAATGCACTAGCACAAGAAGTTGGAACTATACCGTTCCCATAATCAAGATAAATTACCTATAATCTTGTGCTACAATCGTACCGATGGCATGTCCAATTTCCATCCTAGATTGTGAACAAAAATCTTTATACTTATAAGAACCGATGATTTAATCCTCTGTGTATAAGCTAAAACTCTACACACTAAATCATCTACTATATAAGTAAATAGACACCATAAACGAATATATGATCTATTAAAATTGAGCAAATATTTATTCTATAATAAATATTATTTCTTAACACATGGTTAATAGTATATATCCCAACATATGTATCATATATGAACTTGAGTTATATTTTATATAGAAATATTTGAAAAATTATATAATTGTGTAGTTCTTGAAATAGTAATTACATATTATAGTAATTATTAATAATGTATGTTTGTAACGTACTTAAATGTAATTCATAATGTCATGTTTGGTTGCACAAAGTATAACTACATAATTGAGTATTCTTTTATTATAAATAAAGACTAATCATAAAAACTCATCCGATTGTTACACTAAATTACTATCAATATTTTATTTTTTTTGACCTACTTGAAAATTGAAGAGTATAGTTATTTTCCTCAATTACACTCAATTTCATGCTAATCAAATAATTACTTGGTCAGACAAATTTGTCAATTGGAGTATATAATTACACTAATATCCCATTACAAGGTAGACTTTCAAAACACCTAGAGTATATTATAGTACGAGTTCAAACTTCAAACTTAAAAATGCACGCATCTTTAGAAACACATGCATAGTTATTTTCAGATTTTTTATTTGAAAAATAAATAGATATTTTTTATGCATATGTAAAAATAAAAATTTCTTACAAAAAATATAAAATTTTAAAAAGCAAGTTTATAATGGACTACAATATCAAAAATATATCTAATCACTCATTGGTTTAGGATTTAGTCTAAGAGTGTGATATGGAGACCGTCTATTCATTCTTTAGGCATTGATGGCAGTTACTATGACATTGGATGCTTAGATTTTTCTATATTTTAACAATATTTAAAAAAAAAATTAAAAAAAATAACATTGTAGTGAAAAAGAAAAAAATAAATAAATTAAAACGTAAGGGTTACATGGCTCATTATATACTCACAATATATGAGTATTTCTTTTTTTCTTAATAATTTGTGGAATAAATAGATATTCCAACCTAACTAAGCATTATAATTATAAACATTATCTTTCTATTTGTATATGTATATTTTCCTAGTGTTATCGTTTTTAAAAGACAATTATTACCAGTAATCAGCCATTATTTTTTTGTACCAATGGTAGTCAAGGATGATATAGTCTTAAACTATATGAGAACTTGAATGATGTCTCTTATCCATCTTGAACTAATTAAGAAATTCTGGCATGAAAAATAATAATAATGATAAACATGATGATGATAATAATAATTAGAATAATAATAATATTGTTATGATGAATATGCGGTAGTTGACTTGCTCCAAAAATAATAATAAAAGTTAAACATTGTGGTAGTTGAATTGCCCCTCCACCACTCATTTCTTATTTCTTCGTATTTTGATTAATAGCTTTCGTCCAACTTTTAAAATCTATTTTTTTTTTTTGCTGAAGTATACTTTTGGAAAGAGTGTTATTTTATTAAGGGGTGGGGGTAGTTTCAAATATATACAATAAAGTAATTAGTTTATAATAAATATAGTCATATTTTATTTACATAAAAAAATAGCTAAAACAAATCATTGGAAGTATGTACTGATAATACTGACTATACAATAATATAGCTTACTTATACATGAACTATACACTAACTATACATTATGATACACTCAAAAAGTTGAATATAGTATAACTATACATGAAATATACATTGAGTATATATGAATATAATAGGCATTACTAAATTGTACTTATAATGTATACCAAATACAAATAGGCATACACACTACGTAGTATATACTATCTATTATACTTATAATGTATACTAAATATAATATAACACTTACATTATATATATATACACACACACACACACACACTTCTAATATATACAAAATATACACACAATATACTATTTATTATATTAGAGCAAGTTGCTAGTACAACTTACAATACCCTTTGTACAATAATTTGTTGCAGTGTTCGTACACCACAAAGTGTATATATATATATATATATACACACAATATACTATTTATATATTAGAACAAGTTGCTAGTACAACTTACAATACCCTTTGTACAATAATTTGTTGCAGTGTTCGTACACCACAAAGTGTCATTACTAAAGTGTACAATAATTTGTTATAGTGCTTGTACACCACAAAGTGTCATTTGAATGGACACGTTAGTTCAATTTTTTTGTAGTGAACATTTGTAGCATTTTACAAATTCAGCATTTTACAAATTCACACTATTTGATAGTCCATACAATTCACACGTATATTTAATTTATTTTTTGGTATAGTACAGTTTACAATACATTTTGTACAATAATTTGTTGCAGTGTCGTACAGCACAAAGTGTCATTTCTAAATATTAGTAAAGTAAAGTAATGAAAAAGAAGCAAGTTGATGGTACAATTCACAACACCCTTTGTACAATAATTTGTTGCAGTTTGAAGCTTGCTTTCAGTGAAAGCAAAACTGACAAGGAAGCCTCATGTTAAAAAGGTTTGAAAGGGCTCTTAAAAAAGGCTGATGAACTCGACACATTTTGTGGTATTGAAATGACTTTCATTATCTAAAGTTTTTACCACAATGAACATATCATGTAATAAACTCATGAAGCTAAAATTAATGTTTTTAACAAAGTTTAAGAATCTTCTAGCATCTGTTCAGTCAAAAAATATATTGAGAAAAGAAGAGTTCACCAAGCAAATAATTGAAAAGATGAAAGAATAATTGTGTAAGGTGAGGAAGGAAATTAAGAACATGATGCATGAATTGTTGAAGGGAAAAGACGTTCTCTTTGATATTTCCTTCAACACTTCATACAACGTGTTCGTCATTTCTTCCTTACGTTACACAGTTATTCCCTCTGTCTTTCCAATTCTTTGCCTGGTTAACCCATTTTTCGCCATCATATTTTTTGATTAAACCTATGCTAGAAAATCCTAAACTTTGTAAAAACACTGGTTGTAGCTTCATGATTTGAAAACACCACAATTTTATTGTGGTAAGAACTATAGATGATCGTAGGCATTTTAATCCCACAAAATGTGTTAGTTCATGAGACTTTTTCAAGAACTTTTTCTATCTTTTCTTGTAGAAGACTTCCTTGTCAGTTTTACTTTCAATGAAAGCAAACTTCACTTCCTTTCTATTCATGGCTAAAGAGGAGGAGAAATGTGTTTGCTTGGGAGGATATCAAATGCTACATAATGTTGTTGTGTGTTTCTTTTCCTAGGATTAGCTCCTATTTATAGAGAAAATTCAGATTTTATAAATTTTTGAATAGTTTGACTTAAAGAATACTAAATTGTTGGTAGTAACTATTTTGGCATGTAACTAAATGGGGGTGTATTAGATACGAAGTTAGATCATATCATCTTGAAATATATGTAGTTTATGATTTTGGTCTTGTTCTGACCAGATTTTTTGAGTCAAACTTTTTATATCAGGAAAATAATTTAG